ATATATAATTATGTCTGGGCAAAGTTTTCTTTCCAATGACCAGAGAGGCATGAACAACTTCATGAGCATGTATTTCCCAAGCATCCTCTAGAGGAGGTGAGAAAATAAATGCCTCATGGAAATTTTCATGGTCTTCCCTCAAATCACTCTCTCTCTTCGGGTCCCTGTTTTCATTTCCTGTTATCTCCTAATCTCAAATTTCAACCTGACTCCCCCCAGGAAATGATCAAACTATACTGAAGTTTATGCTAAACAGATGGAAATGGTCTTTTGGAAATAGAAATGTTTGTTGCTATGATCATATTTTCTGGCTTATGACTTCATATCTTTTTTGAGAGTAGATCAAGCATAATTAACACACAAATAAGTGAATAAGCAAGTGCATTTCCAGTTCCTGATGCAGAACTGTAAATGAAAATAAAAGAAGCATATCTTCACCAATCTGAATCCATCAATACATGTTCTAAACATATTCCCCAGAGGTGCTGAATGTAAATCAGAGACTTGGACCATTACCCTGGAGCATCCACAGAGAAGATTCCTAGACATAAAAATTTTTCTTAACCCAGGTGAAATTCTGTTCCTCCATGCCATTCTCCATTCCCTCCCCCAAAACACTCTGATTTTCTTCTTATGCACTTTGCTGTCCAGCGAGCTATCCAGTCTCTTCCTTTTCATAAATTATTACAAAATAGAATTTACATATAATGTTTTTGAAAGATGAAATCTTAGCAAGCCAAGATTAATCATAGCTCAGTGACTTGTTAAGAGCAAAGCTTTCACTGAATATGACCAATACAGCTGCTATCTTTTTATCCTCAGAGAGTCCACATTTCAAGAGTTATGGAAGGACATTGCTCAGAAATGAACAGCTACCTCTTAAGCATATTGTCCTTTGGGTCTATGCCAACAGCTGGTCAAAAAGTGGAAGACATTTATTTTTATTCTCCAGAGATTTAAATCATGCTTTAAGATCTTGAGAACACCAATCATTACTTAAAAGAGGAAAAAAAATCAGATATACTACCTCTTTTCTGAGAGAGACAGATCTTCTAAATCATAAACTTTTAAAACTACTATTTCCTGATTATCACCAGGTTTCCCTAATATCACAGCGTGCTGCTCTCTTCTCTCACTGCTTACTTTGTATCTCCTGGAAGCTTCTGAAGAGCAGCTAAGCTGTGCTGGGCCGCCAGCCTCCCCTCATGGTGACCATGTTAAGTTGTGAAGCCCAGGGATTCTTCTCTGTAAGAATTCTGCATGCTCATTTACAACTCACGGCTCAGATGCCTTTCACACTGCCTACATGAACATTATCTCTTAACACCTCCTACTCCTCCTAACTCGGCAATTCTCAAGGTATAGAACATAAGGAAAGAAGATGTAAAGGTCAAGAAAACATTGAGAAATTGGACAGGCAGCAATTTTTCAAAATATTAAAGATCCCTCCACAGAGATTTTGAAACATCTCTCTTTGTGAGGTATCATCTTGCCCTACCCTTTGAAAATTATCATACACCAAGAGTCTGAAAAGGCAGAAATCAGAAAACTTTGATCAACTCTTAGATAATGTCGAGCTGCATCTCCTATTACTCTCATCCTTCATCTTCTTGAACAATAAGGTTTGCTTCTGTTGTTTGATAGCCCCAAAAACTGTAGTAAGAGTGAGGCAAATGAATCTTTGGTCTTCTTTGCATTGTCCATCACTGTCTTATATCCTATTATAGACAAACCACTTGTATCTACCTATGCCTCCTTTCACAAAAGATCCATTTGCTTACTACAGTATTTTGCATTTACAAAAAGTTATGTAGGACCAAAAGGAGGTCATTTGGTAGCTGGAATACCAGCTTGAGTGTAAAAGTGGCCTCCTTCTGGGAATTAGACACATTGAGGAAACCTGGTAACTCATAGTGCCAGGTAGAGTTCACCCAGAATCTACTGGAGGAACTCGTATCTCTGGGGAAAGTACTTTCCATAAAGGAAAAGAATGACAGGCAAACAGGCTTGCTCTCATGTCCATCACCTGACTCTGAAGGAGAGGTGAGGTGACCACCTCTGTATGCAAGCAATCACTAAGATTTGTCATTCCCCACTACCACAACCACCAGCAACCCAAGGCTTCCTGCATCACAAGGAAACAGCAGGATTCCGTTCATGAGTACAGGAGAGCCACTCTCCAGCCCCAAGCAGGACCTCCCAGAAATAAGAGAGTGTGACCTTGAGGCACAGAAAGATTGTCCTTTCTAGTTGAGAGTAAAGACCGGAGAAATATAGATTATATGAGGCTTATCACACTATCATGAATACTGAGAAAAGCATTTCGTTACAATATTTTTAAATTTGCAAGTAAATGGCATGTATATAATTTCCACTCAGACATCTTCAAGAGTGTTAAAATGAAATCACTTGATGCTAAGGTCCTGGTCTCAATTTGCCATATTCTCGAAGTCTCTCTCGAATAGAAAATTAAGCCCTTATATCTTTACATTCCTCTCTTTCATTTCTCTTTCAACCATAAAAGTAGATAGTTAATATACCGAGTACATTAGCAGTGCACTGAAGAATTCCTGAGACATCTTCAATATCCTCTTTGTTGGAATGGTCTGCATAGGAGCATCTGTTAGAGATATTGTGGAAATTCTTTTCGGCATCCCTGTAACTAAGAAGAAAATAAAATTAACATATGGGGAAAGATTTGAGATCATCTGCAAATGCATTCATGCACACACATTTAAGCACATACAATCTATGCTTTGAGCATAACCCCATTTTAAAATAACTGAACCTTCAGACATACTTCTGGCATAACCCACCATTCCCATCAGTATTAGCATGATGGCCCTCGAATTGGAGATATCTTCTCATAAAAAAGTTGCTTGTGAAAAGCAAAAAGGAGGAGAATAAAAATATGTATCAACTTTGTGCAACTAATGTATTCTTACCTGAAAACTTCATTACGGCTGGTAATCTGTTTCCATAAGGAAATTTCCCAGAAAAAGAAATATTAATGGTACTAATATGGTTCACTGTCACTCCACTGTGTTGAAAATAAACATGCTTTAACCTCTACCACAGTGAAGAAGATGGCACTAGGGTACATAGATAATTTCAAAATAAATATGCAGCATTTGGAGCCTGGTACATTTTGAACCATGGTCTTACCATTTACTGTCAAACCTTGGACAAGTGACCTCATCACTGTTAGTGTAACTTTCCTTTCTCATATCACAAAGGTACCTCCTACAGTTCCTGTGAGGACTCAATGACAATGTTGGTGTCATTTGGTGTTGGTTGGGACTTTCCAGCTTCCCCTAAATGACAGATAAGGTATCAATGCTATGGGCAATTTGAGCCAAAGGGTTCCATGTGCCAGATGAGTAGCCAAGAAGAACAGAACTCTTCTTCAGGATTTAAGAGGTAACTAAGTAGATGCTGCCACTACTATCCCAAGAACAGCTCACAGAAGCAAAGGAATAGAAAGAACCAAACCAATCCTCAAAAGAATGAGTTGGAAATTCTCAGAAGAGCTGGCCTAGAAAGGGCATGTTGCTGCACTTTTCCCTTCTGCTATGAGATAAAGACAGAACAAAGCACTCCCTGTAGAAGCCCATTTGGGAAGAGCAGTCCATAGCTTACACAATTGGGGTGGGTGAACATCTGCTGAGGCACTGGATTTCCTGATCATCTCCTCACCACTGACTGAGAAGAGGGAAAATATTCTAGAGAAAGTTTCTGACAAGGAAAAGAAATAAAACAAAACTGAAAGTAACCTACAGGCCCACCATGTGGCAAGGCAAAAAAATATGATTTTCCCATGACTTAGGGAGATGCTACCAAAGAGAGGCGAGCTTAAGTTGTCCAGTCAGCCTGATACTTTCCAGTCCTAAGGCTGGAATTCCACAGGCAAGACTGTGGAGTGTGGTTCTCAGGGGCAGATGCTGGGATTTCAGGAGCTGTCAGGGAGAGCCCATAACTGCACCGCTAGTGAATTTAAAAAGCTCCTGCCATTTTCTTTTTCACTGTGGCCTGACATAGCACATAGGAAGAGGAAGGGACCCAGAATGATGTGGCCTGGAGAAGCGGAGTGAAAACTTACCTCATATCTTCTCTGCATTGCATTCAAAATACCTCAGACCCAGACCTCACTCACATAAAGAGAGGGTAAAAGGGTTTGATTGAACTAAGACTGAAGATTCAAACTAGTCTGCAGTGGACTTCACAATCCTTAAAATTACTTAGAAGAAAAGCTATCTGTCCAAGCAACTATCAAAGGGGATTCATCCCAGGGTCTTTGATGTGACTGGAGAAAAAAATAAAATGTTTTGTTGTTTGTAGACCTCATTGATATTACACTCCAATAACTGGTGAGGCAAAATACTTGCTATATTTCATAAATACAACACTAACACCATGAGAAGAGGAATAGGAGATATAGACATTAAACACAGACAAATAAAGTATTATTTTTGATCAATTTCCATCATTTTTAATAGAATAACTTTGGTCAAAATACTTTTTCCCTCATCCTCAATTTCCTCTTCCATAAAATGAGTGTAGTGCAAAGAGTTGTGAAATAGATGATTAGGGTTTTTAAAAAAAGAGGTAAAGTGACCAGAATGTTGCATCAAACACAGTAAGCAGTCGTTCTTTATAAATATATGGAAAAGAAGCTAGAACACTTTTTAAATGAAATAATTTATAGCTACAAAATCTGACCATGAAGGGGGAACACCAGGATGGTGAAGTGGTAAGCAACAGAGAAAGAGCCTTTCTGGGAGGCACCATCCAGATGCTGGAAGGTAGCAACATTAGGAAGACAAGATGGAGGGAACTGGGTCCCATGGACCAAGAAAGGATCAGAAGCATGAAATGAAGCACACAGAGAGAATGAGGAAAGAAACTTCAAGAAAGAAGGAGGAGGTAGGCAGGAACATCTTCTCCCTGAAACAGGACTCACTGTGCAAGAGGAGTGGTTCAAATCTGCAGACACACAGTGACTGCTGGCAACCCCAGAGGCCTCCATGCAGAGATGCAGCAGTAGAGAGGGGCAGTAACATGAAGGACTGCACTAGCTAGTGGGCTGTGTTTGATGCTATTTTCATTGCTGATGGTACCACCACAGCCAAAAGTGACATAACTGTTCTAAGCAGCTATTCTTCCTGGTATTCCAAGACTGAGACTGACAAACGTTCACAGAAAATATTGTGATACAGTGCCAAAGAACCAGGGGCTGAGCCAAGCAGGGACCAACTTCTCATCCCCAACAAATTGGAGAAGATCTTACAACAGACTCAAAACACAATAACCAGCTACACCTGGAAGGTACCTTGGAGAAGTCATTTCCTAAGAGTTCTAAATATTAGCAATAAAACAGCCCACATAGGCAATTTATAAGCATCACCCTAGGAATTAAACTAAAAAAATGAAAAGAAAATGAGAAGATACTTAAAGAAGATGCAACCCAGATATACAGTTCACCAAAGGCAAACCCAAGGGACAATGGTATCAGATAATCCAAAAGCCACCTACCTGGCCTCTCTGAAACAAAGAAATTGAATGAGGCTCTAGACAAAGTCAAATCAGAAATAATTTCTGAGATAAGAGCAGAAATGGTGTCCACAAGGAAAAGCATGCTTAGTGACTCTAGAGGAGATACAGACAAAAAAGTAGAGGAGCTTGAGAAAATTATGGAAGCCATGAATGTTCAGCATAGGAAAGAAATGGAATCCATAAGGCAGATTCAAGCAGATACCCAGTAAAATAAAAATTCCATTGAAAGTATCCACAGCTGGGTAAGCTAGTCTGAGGACAGGATCTGAAATACAAAAGACAGGCTTGCAGTTAGCGACCGTGAAGAGAAAGATTTCTTAAAAATAGGAAGGGACCACGAGAAATCAATCCAGCAGCTGCTAGATGAGTCACTGAAGACCAACATAAGGTTGACTGGAGTCAATGAAAAAGCAGGAGATAGCATAAATGACATTAAAAAAAAGAACTGTACACAGACGTCATGGCAGAAAAATTCCCTAGTAGGGAAAAACAATTTAACATACAGATAAGTGAGGGATACATAATTCCAATTGGCCATGATGAAAAAAATCTACAGCCCACATGGCATATCATAGTCAAGATTGCGGAAACTCAGCACAAGAATAGAATCTTAAAAGCTGCTAGGGAAAATAAATAAATCACCTATAAAAGAAAGCCCATCAGAATCACAGCTGACTTCTCAGCAGAATCCTCAAGTCAAGGAGAGCTTGGACTAATGTATTTCAAGTTCTAAAGGAAAACAGTGATCAATCCAGTTTGATGTAACCAACAAAGAATCTTTAAAACTGATGGAGACATAAGGTATTTCCATGACAAAGAACATCTGAGGAAATTTATGAACACTAAATCAGCACTCCAAAATGTTTTTCAAGGACACCCTAGAAAGAGATAACAAAGACTACAACTCCATAAACCCCAACAGAAGGAATCCACAAGGCAAGGCAAACAACTAAAAAGAGGGAAGGAACAAAAAGAGCAGCCAACAAAAGGAAAATAATATGACAAAGATAAGTCAGTACATATCAGTTGTAACCATCAGAGTTAGTGGTCTCAATTCACCAATCAAAAGACACAGGCTGGCAGAATGGATCAAGAAGCAAGATCCAACAAAGTGCTGCATAAAAGAAACACATTTAGTTTAAAAGAACATAGACTGAAAGTCAAAGGATGGAAAACAATGCTCCATGTGACAGGAATGCAGAAAAAAGCAGGAGTAGCTCTTCTATTTGCAGACAAAGTGAATTTCAAACCAAGACTAATTAAGAGAGATAAAGAAGGCCACTACATCCAAGAAGAAAAGATAACAATCATAAATATATATGCAACAAATACTAGTGCACACAAATATATAAAACAAACAGTAAATGACATGAAAAATCAAATACACATGAATACAATTGGACTGAGGGGAATCACAATACTCCACTGTCACAAAACACAGACCAACTAGACAAAAAATCAGCAATGAAATATTAGAACTGAAACTTTTGCACAAATTAAACAGTTTTTACAATTAAATGATAATGACAGTACAACATACCAGAACTTATGTGACATAAAAGAAGCACTTCTAACAGGGAAATTTACAGCGATAAATACACACATCAGGAAAACAGAACAAGTGCAAATAAGCAACTTAATGGTGAAACTCAAACTTCTAGATAAAGAAGAGCAGGCTAAGCCAAAAGCTCATGTCAGGGAGGAAATTATAAAGATCAGAGCAGAAATTAATGCACTGGAATCTAAAAAAACACAAAGAATCAATGATCAAAAGTTGGTTCTTTCCAGAAGAGACCCAGAATAGCAAAAGCAATCCTGGGCAACAAGGACAAGTCAGGTGGAATCACAATCCCTGACCTGAAATTATACTATAAAGCTACTGTCATAAAATACACCTGATACTGGCTAAAAAACAGGCCTGAGGATCAATGGAACAGACTGGAAGAAACAGACACAACCAAAAACACACTCAACCACCT